TGTCGGTGACAATTGAAAATATTTCTTTGAGATTCCTGGCAGTTAGTTTCAACCATATTGTTGAGGTTACGAAGCTGTTTTTCACAATAGTTTTCGCTTAATCGATGACATTGGAAAGGGAGACTCGACTCACTTATATTATTGTTATTCCCATTGTTACTGGGGTTATCATTGCCAGCCAGGCTGAACTGAATTTTTATATATTTTGGGTTTTATCATGTGCGTTTCATCCCCAGCAGCAAGAATTCCACAAATATCTTTCTGTACATGGATCCTATAGCTGAAGTATTTCTACTTTCTACAATGCTCATTACAGAAGAAAACGTGATCAGTATTACACTTGCCCTTGCCCAGGATGATATCGAGATCAATTAATGTCTCCTATTCAATTCAACACCAGCACATTTTGTGAATTTGACCAACTTTTTGGTCATACTAACATCACACTTGAATCCCCACTGAGTTTTGTTCTCAAATGGTCTTGTGACATCATACAAAAATTTTGAACACCATGCAAAGAGCTTCAATGATTGAGAAATCTTGGCAGAAGCCACAAGAAATGACGAATGTATTGTCAAATGTTTTACAAACATTTGTGCAGAAACCACAGAAAAAGATGAATGTGTTTTACAAACCAGTAATTATTGTGCTGAACCAATGTTGCGATCATATGGTGTTTCCATTTATTGATCCAAAATAAAGTGTCTTCTTCAACACCAAGATTAGAAGTGAGATATAATGAAGATTTCTTTCCACAGAAGGGAAGCAGAAATTTTAACAACAAGAAACTAGTGGAGCCAATTATGATTGAACGACATGTTGTTGTTAAGCATCTCGACATGATATGGTCCAAGTTGCCTTATTCGAGATCTGATTATATGTGGAGACATGAAAAAATTTTTGGAATAAATCTTCCTTATGATGTGTTTCAAGAGTTAAATTAGAACAGACTCTACTCTCCTAATTAATCACTGCTGAGTCAGGCATATCTACATCTACACTCTTCAAAGATGATAGATTCCCTTTTTAAAGATGACAGATTCTCTTTTCAAAGATGAAAGCTTTATCGGATTTCTGCACAACTCCAAGCAAAGAAAGTTGGTTTTATCCAAGATAAAATAGGGCATCAAGGTCATAGTTCTGACTACGAAAAGAGTTCCACAAAAGAAACAATTCTTCTGAGACTTTCATGAAGCAAAGAAGACATAAAGATACAAGTTGATCATATGGTTCTTCAGAAATGCAAGCTTGATATCATAAGTTGCTACACTGATATCCAGAGGTGACCCTGGCAATAAATGATAAAGTGGAGGAAGACCGAGTTCACCATTTTGAAGTCAAACAAAGATTGCATCAACATTCATGCATCATATTTAGGTATTTGCAAAAATAGGTGCATTTTCATTCATTTTATCCATGTTGAATATTTGACAGGAATTTCAAAGATTTTAGCAAAGTTCAAATCCATCATTCAATGGATCAACATTTCAGAGAAAGTTCATAATGAGAAGAACTCATCTGAAGAAGGAAGAAGAAGTTCATAATAAGAAGAACTTGTTCAACTTTTCGCTTGAATTCATCATTTGATGGATCAACATTATCAGAGAAAGTTCATAAGGAGAAGAACTCATCTGAAGAAGGAAGAAGAAGTTCATAATAAGAAGAACTTGTTCAACTTTTTGCTTGAATTCATCATTTGATGGATCAACATTACCAGGTCAAGTTCATAATGAGAAGAACTCATCTGAAGAAGGAAGAAGAAGTTCATAATGAGAAGAACTTGTTCAACTTTTTGCTCAAATCCATCACTTGATGGATCAGTTTTTCCAGAGAAAGTTCATAATGAGAAGAACTCATCTGAAGAAGGAAGAAGAAATTCATAATGAGAAGAATTTGTTCAACTTTTTGTTTGAATTCATCACTCGATGGATCAACTTTTCCAGAGAAAGTTCATAATGAGAAGAACTTATCTGAAGAGGAAGAAGAAGTTCATAATGAGAAGAACTTGTTCGACTTTAGTTTGATCGATGGATCAACATTTCCAGAAAGTTCATAATAAGAAGAACTTATCTAAAGAGGAAGAAGAAGTTCATAATGAGAAGAGCTTGTTCAACCTTTTGCATGACTCTATCACAGAAGGAGATAGATCATCATCAACTTTTCCAGAGAAAGTTCATAATGAGAAGAACTTATTTGAAGAGGAAGAAGAAGTTCATAATGAGAAGAGCTTATTTAACCTTTTGTTTGACTCTATCACACAGAAGGAAATAGGTCAACATCATCACCAGCGGAAAGTTCATAATGAGAAGAACTCTTCTGAAGAAAGAGAAGAATTTATTCAACATCTCCATATTAATCAAGTGAATTCAAATGGATAAAAAAATATTATTATCTTTTCGTCTTTGCTCTATTCTTGTTAACACAAGAATGAGCAAAGAGGTGCAGCTGAAGATACTAATTTTTTTCATCCATTTATTTTATTTTATTGATATTTTTTGTTTATTATTATTATTATATTATTTATTATTATTATTATTATTATTATTATTACAAATAAATACATTTCAAGCCCAAACCCTAGGGCCCGTTTACATGCTCAAGCCCAACCAGAACTGGCCCAAAAGATGACCCAAACCCTTCTAGGGTTTGTATCATTCCCAGCCGCCGCTCCAAAGTTCCAGTGAGTTCTACGCAGCGCCGCCTCAAGCTTCCAGAAACCTGTCGCCGTTCATTGTCGACACCTCCATTGCCAGGTGCTTCAACCACGACGCTGCCGCCCTCGTCGAAGATTCCAACGGCTGCCACGACCTCTCCACACATCAATGCCCAAAGGGTGAATCACCATAAATTCGGTGACTCACCGAAAATTCACCTTTGGACCGGTCCGAAGAGAATACCAGTAATGGCTATAAAGCCATCGCTGCAAGAAAAAAGGGGGCCATGACAACAAACGGAGAACAACAAAAAAAAAGGAGGAGGACAGCCACAACCAAAAACGAGAGAGATGCAGTAACGAGGAACATATCAACAGAAACCAAGACAAAAAAAAAACGAAAGAAAAGAGAAGAGAAGCACTTACCGAGGAAGGAGCACGGCCATCGGAACCTACACGAGCCACTAAAGAAGCCGAAATACCGAACGTATTTCCATAGATCTAGGTAATTTTACAGCTTTTTAGGAGAAAAGGAGGTTGGAATCGGTCTTAGGGTGTTCATAGCTTTATTTTGGGGGATTTGGGAGTTCCGGCCACCGCTCACGATGGTCGGTGATGGTGGTAGTCGACGGTTGTCTACGGCCAGCTATCTCTCTGTTGAGAGAAACTAGAGAGAAGGGAGAGAGTTACTTTTTAGAGAGAGAAGAAGAAAAAGAGAAATTTGGCCCGTAGGGCCGGCCATTTTGAGTATTTAAACCCCTCTCCAAACGACGCCGTTTTGGGGAGGGGTATCTGTGTAATTTAAGAAAGGGTAAACCCTTTCCGTAGCCATCCTAACTTGTAACTCTTACATTTTAGTCACTAAATCAAATTTATAATCCTTTTAATTTGATCTCTAAATTTTATTTATTTATATTTTAGCCCTTAACCGTATTTATAAATATTTAGGATAAATAACATATTTAATCTATTAATTTTAATAAATCATATTTTAATCCTGAGTTTATATTTTTAATTTATTTTAATCTGATATTCGAATTTTATTTAATTTTAATTTAGTCACTAATTTTAAATATTTTCTTTTATTTTATTGCTTTTAAATATATAGTTCTAATTGTATTTTTATTGTTTTAATTTTACTTGTATATATATTTAAATATTATTTTATGTAGTCATATAAATATATATAATAAATAATAATTTATATATTTTTTTTACATAAATTATTTTAATATTTATTTTTCAATATCGAAGAAAAGGGCAGTCTTAATACAACTAGATGTCCTATTCTGGTATTTTAAAATTAAATATTATAAAAAATTATAATTTAATTTTATTTAAATTATTATATTAATATTTATTAATATCGAAGAAAAGAGCTGTCTTAAGGCACCTAAAAGTCCTTTTCTGATATTTCTAAATAAATAAACATTTTATTTATAAATATATATAAATTATTTTTCTCATAATTATACTTTTGAAATAATAGGATTATAAATTAAATATATTTTGAATTTTTAATAATAGAGATAATTTATAATTAAAAAGTACCAATTTTGGGCGTTGTAGGGGTGCTAATCCTTCCCTAAACGTAACCGACCACGAATCCCTTTTTATTCTTAAAAAGAACGAATTTTTGGTTATAAACGCAGATCAGTTCATTTTTTAATTGATGTTTTCTTAAAACTCTTTTAAAAAAATATTTTTTAGGTATTCGACCTACCTGACCCAAAAGGCCGATGGCGACTCCCAAATTATTTTCAAAACCATTTATTCACATCAATTTTCCCGCCAAGTATAATATTTCGTGCCCGGACGAAAATCGGTTACAACAATGCTATAGATAGAAAGACTCGGAAACTTCTATCAGAGGTGGCATATAAGGAGATTGCAGATCTACAAAAGGAATTAAGGGCAGAAAAGCACCTAAGGACTGAACTTCGAATAAGGATGGAGTTGAAGAGATTTTCTGCTCCGAAACCTCTCTTGGAGAATTTTGAAAATGGGCATCTACCCTTAATTTGCTTGCAGTATAAGGATTCTGCAGGTGTTGAAAACTTTGTTCCTGCTGTTTATCTGGCGAAGGTTGAATTGCTTGTTGATTCAAAACTTAAGAACATGGTTTTGACTGATGATTCTTTTGCACTGAGCAGAGGTGGAACCGAGTTAGATGCTGGTCAGTCTGAGTATGACACTCTTCAAGATGTTGAACCAACTTACGATTTGGCCCTTGGTTCAGATAACTCCTGGTATCTATTTACTGAAAAGTGGATTAAAACTGTTTAGAGGAGTGGCTTTCCTGATGTTGCTTTAACTCAGGGGGAGGCTTTGCCCCTGAAAAAAAATAATGAGGGCACTTCTAGAGAAAGAGGAAATGCAGTGGGAAAAGCTCGCTGACTCTGAGCTTGGTGGTTTATGGTGCTTGGAAGGATCTCTAGAGACATGGTCTTGGAGTCTAAATGTGCCGGTTTTAAGTAGTCTTTCAGAAAGTGATGAGATGTTACATATGTCATAAGAATACATTGCATCTGTTGAACATTACAAAGGAACAAAGTATCACGTTTGAAGAAAAAGATAGCCTGTACCGAAGGCTCCAGAGAATACAGAAAGATCTTGGACACAGCTAGGTTTACTGAGGAAAAGATAAAACGGTTGAAGGCTCGTTCAAATCATTTGATCAATAGAACGGAGAAAATTGAACCATCTGGTTGGAAGGAGTTTCTTCAAATCAGCAATGTCATTCATGAAACAAGGGCATTAGACATCAATACACATGCAATATTCCCTCTTGGCGAAACAGCAGTCGCGATTCGTGGAGAAAATGACCTGTGGTTGGCAATGGTACATCGAAACAAGATCTTGCTAGACTTAAAGCCTGCGCAGCTCGCTGCTGTGTGTGCGAGTTTACTTTCCAAGGGGATCAAGGTACGCGCATGGAAAAACAATTATTACATATATGAAGCTTCCTTTACTGTCCTAATTGTCATTAGTTTATTAGATGAACAAAGAAACTCCTTTCTGCAACTTCAAGAGAAACATGAGGTAGAGATACCTTGTTTGGATAGCCAGTTTTCAGGAATGGTTGAAGCCTGGGCTTCCGGGCTATCTTGGAGGGAATTGACGATGGATTGTGCCATGGATGAGGATGATTTAGCCTGACTTTTACGGAGAACAATCGACCTTTTGGCTCAGATTCCAAAATTGCCTGATATGGATCCGTTGCTGCAGAAAAATGCGACAACTGCATCTGGTGTCATGGACCGTCCACCCATAAGCAAGCTCGCTGGATGAAGTTCCTATGCAACAAACTATAAATTAGGTGTTTTTGTTTAACACATAATTTGTTGTTGTTGATATAATGTATTTTCAACCTCAAATTCGATTCACTCATATTTTGTATATGAAAGTCTGATTCAGAATCATTAAAAGCATCCTCAAGGACGCCAGGAGTCCTTATGGGTTTGGGGGGAAATTACAATGAATTTTGATAATTTAGACATGAATATTTGAATATCCAATATTTTGATAATTCGGATATGAAACTTTGACCATCCAATATTCGACTTATTCGGTCTTCATTTGGGTTATTAGAGATTTTGTTGGTAAAGGGGATATCGATGGTTCAAATATGAGAGTCTGAATTTCCAATTTTCGAATTTTTTGGTTAAAATTTAGGTTAATTGAGGGTTGTTTTGATAGAAGATTTGAGTGGCAATGGAGATGGCCAATTCATCCATTAGGACAAGACAGGATCGATGGAGTTGAAAGAGAAAGTGAAGAGGAAATGAGCTTTAGTACCTGTGTTCATGTTAGGGTGAGTGTTTAATCGAGTTGAGTCGAATAAAAAAATTTAAATTATTCAATTCGATAAGTTTTAGACAAAAGGGTAACTTTTGCCCCTGTAATAAACTCAATTTATCACTTTCGCCCCTATCGTGTTTTCGCATCAATTTAACCCTTGGAGTTGTTCAATTACATCATTTTATATTTTACCTAACTTAAAATCATAAATTATGAACCTTAAATCATATCCTCATGGATCTTAAACCATAAATTATAACTTAGTATTTTAAGTCAGGAGTAGGATATAAAACGACGTAATTGAACAACTTTGATAGCTAAATTGATGCAAAAATACGATAGAGACGAAAGTGATAAATTGAGTCTACTATAGGGGTAAATGCAATTAAGCCTAAGTTTTATTTTATAACTTACGCTTTAATTGAAAATTATTCTATTTGAGTCGAATTGAGTTATTCGAGCTTTTGTTTAAATTTAATTATAAATCTTTATAATATTATGATAGTATATAATTATAATTTAAACGATTTTTCATAATCATATACAATTCATATATATATTTTTATATGTGTCATATAGAATTGAGGGATTCAACTTAAACTTGAAAACTAATCCACCTAATTCCTAAAATTTTAAAGTTCTTCAAGTTCTATGTTATAACTCGACTCAAATTTGAAATTTTTCGAGTCAAATCAAGCTCATAAATTATGAGTCGAGTCAATATTTTTTAGTCAATTAGAATCAAGTTTTTTCGAATCAACTTGAATAAAAAAAGATCAAGTTTTGCTCACCCTAACTCTGGTTTAACAAAAAAAAGTGTTGGATTTCTTGATCTTTTCCCGTTGCCCCGATCATTAACAAATATTAGGTTTTGCTCACCCTAATTCAAGTTCTTTGGAGGTTGATCGTCATTCTCAAAATAAATATTTTGTTTTATTATTTTCTTTTTAATATTTTTTCTTTTATATGAGTTTTTCTTTGGGACTATTATCCCTATTATCCCTTTATATTTGGATGTGTTATAATTCAAACTCCTTTTATTTTTATTAATAAAATATAGTCATCGTTACTAATAAAATATTAATAATTTTAATTTCATAAATTCAGAAAAAATAACAGTACTATATAATTTTTGAATCATATTTAATAAGTAAGATTTCCTTATCAGTGTGAGAAGACTACATAGAGACGTCGTCAAATTAGAAAATCCTTTATAAAGAATTTTCGCGAAAAATAAAAAATGATTATTCAAAATTAAAACATTAACCTGTAGCAAATTTAAATTTAAATAACTTATTAAACTACAAAGAATTTCTGCGAAAAGTCTCAAATAATTATTTAAATTAAAGAACTATTGTTGTCTTCGCAGTTGAATTAGTGCCATACTTATCACATGGATGCATACATACATATACACAAAACAAGATGCAAGCCTATACCTTGGAAGAATTGAAAGCAATCTTGCACTCCAAGCCATTAACCATAGTAAGTCCAGCTGCCTCTCCTGTCGAAGAAAGTTCATTCACCATCCATACATTTCCTCGTATTCCTGTAAACGCCACATTTACATATTGTCGGGATGATGCATGACTACATGGAATAAATGCGAACAACTTTGTCTATCGTTCATTCTTATTGTACCTCTTCAAGAAAACCCGAGATTTCTCTTTTTTCTCCGGAACAGCCGAGAGAAAGCCGTTGCGCAAATACGCTGCAAAATTAGAGTCCATGGAAACAGCCATCACTTCAGGCTTCTTGTTCCCATAATCCATAAGCTGAATGGAAAGACGAGTTGGTGTGGATGACTGCTGCATTCATGAAATGTAAGATGCAGATTGCATATGAGATTTGTATCAAATAAACAGTTAATATAAGCGAAACAAAATGAGAACGAAATACGTACGCATTCAATGCGGTATATATTGTCATCACGAAGGAGAAGACGGGCATTATCATGATAAACAACATCAATGGTTCTACCAGAGTTTCCTAATTTCTCATATGCATAGAGTTGAAGAAGCTTATTGTCCATTTCTTCGCTTGCAACCACTTGAAGCTAAGGCAAGAGCCACAAAGATGAAAACTTTACAATCAGATATGCTGAGGAAAAGAAGGGTGAAACTTCGGAAAGAAGCTTATCCGGAAAAAAAAGAAACTTCGGAAAGAAATCAACATTACCCGTTTCACAAGATTATATATCAGCTTATCCATCGTGAACAGAACATATGATTGTGCTCCAAGGATAACTAGGCAATCATCCTCAAATTTTGTATGATCAGAAGAGCCATCAAGTAATTTGTAAAGTGCACTCATGAACCTGTATCATAATAAGAGTAGAAGTTAAACATGAGATAGTTGTGCCTGCAGCACAGGAAGTTGAAAACTAAATTACCTGACATAGAGATCAGTAAGACTTGAACTACTCAAAGGCATCCATTTCCGACCTGCAGATGATGAATTGTTCTTTGCTGATTGCAATCTCTCGTATAATGTCTGTTGAAATTGTTCAAGGAGTTAATAACTTGAAGAACAAACCATGCAACAAATATTATCATTATGGTTAGTTAAATATTTTACTAATTCAATAAAAGGGTACTTACTTGGTGAAGCCTGAAGAGCACATAAAATGAGTCATTTCCATAAAAAACCTGTGAATCCGTCTCATTCTCGTGTAATGCTGAAGGGACATGCTTTGCAAGGGGCTTTGTGGTTAGGAGACAACGTTCGGAAAATGGTAATAATGTTCCATCTCCTTCTGCCTCATCAACATCAGACATCCCTTCAGCCTCATATTTACTCCCCCCTTTATTACCCTTTCCAGAAAGTACCTGATTCTCTCTATCCTCGGATGCACCATCTTCCATGTTATAGGCAGTAAAATCCTCATTTGGTAAGAACTCACCTTCCTCAAGATCCCCATTTGGGAAGAACTTACCTTCCTCCATTTCAACTTTATGTTGTCTAAATGATTCTTCATTATGTCTAAAACAATTGCAGTCCTGCAGTTCAAACAATCGCCTTGTGGAATCATCCACCTCACCCTCAGCAAAACAAGAGTTACCATTTTCGACGTTGTTGTTCTTAGCCTTCACAATATCTTCAGTGTCCTCTGCTCCTTGAGGACGAGACGGGAGACCAAGCATGGGTTCCAGGAATGTCGTCCATAGTTTCATTACTTCATCCAACTGCTCAGTTGTACAAATTTCTCCACAGGAATATTTGATGAGCTGATAAAGATCTTCATGGATTTCACGATCAGGATATTCGAACTCCATATCTGGAATAATAGGTCGTCTGTTTCCAGCGGCAATAGTGAGATTCACATCTTCTTGCTTCTTCTCACTTATTTCTTTGATCTCAGCCAATAGAGCTGTAAAAATATGAAAAACGGAAAATGAGAAGAGACATCATTCAAACAAGCCAAGCGTTGTACACTCATTCAGCTAAAAAAAAAAGATCCCGAATTAATACAAGAAGTCAAATGCATAAATTTTCAATTAGTAAATTCGTTTCCAGTATAAAACTGTCTTAAAAGTACAAAAGTTGCCCATAATTAGCCAAGCAACTAAAATACCAGACATACATGAAGTTTTCCCAGAGCATGAAGCAGAGGAAACATGATAGTTCAGGGGACAGGACTCTTGGCTAGTATTCATGGTAAAGATTATTTATAACGAACAAAACTCACAACACGCAACAAATGAAATATACAGTGCAATGTGATCCTCACAGGTATCATTTACCAATGTATTCAATGATCAAACTCTAGACCCCTTTTCCCCATTAAAAGGAAAATGCTAAAGATACCTTTTGTGCTTAAGTTCTTGGGGTCCTGCTGCTTAAAAGAGAAGCTCCGGTGATCAAGTGATTTGTGATGATTGTTAGCATAAACTTCAGCCCAAAGTTTCTTAGAATTGGAACTCAATCTAGTACATTCTTCTTGTTTCTGCTTCAACCGAGTTAAAATAACTGGCAGAGCAAGTTGGTTCTTCCTTAGTTCATCCATCAGATCGAGTCCATTGTCATCGTAAAATCGTTCAATGCACCTAATATTCCGAACTGCATTGACAATTATAAGAGAACAACAATCAGGTAAAAAAGAAAAAAAAAGGAAAGGCTGCACTACACAATGCATATGCATATATTTTATTCGTGTTAGTCAGATTATAACCTGTGAAGTGGTCCTTAATACAAGTTGACCAGTCTGTTTTGATTGTACCCTTGTTAATATTATCAAGTAGTCCTTCTACTTTCTTGGTTGTATCCTTCACAGACTCTAACAACATATCCAGTTCAAACCTGACAACAAGTAATAAAGATACTAATAATTCCCGAATTAATTATTAATGAAATGTCAA